TATCAGTAATAACTTAAATTAAAATAAAAAAAAAAAATTCTGAAGTTTTTCATGCAATTTGCCCTTAAACGGACGCAGCACTGAAAGGGAGAAATGCGGTAAATTACCATCGTCAAAAGGGTAGCGTAATGGAATACCTTTGCCCAGTGAACCGAATCTGCAATGTTTTTGCACAGAGGTGAAATGAGCGCGACTCATGACGTCACAATACGMAAATACATCAGATGCGGGATAATTTTGAAGACTAGACACGGTATGTCTGTGTTTCCAACGAAAGTCATATTTTGCCCAGTTRCGGACATTGCTATCATTGATTTGCATATTTGCTTGTTGGTTTAACATTGAGTAATTTGTGTTTTTCGTAGATTTTTTAGATACAGATCATCAGCACGTCAATCATCAGTATTAAAACACTATGAGTGAAAGCAGTAAGTAATTGAACAAWACCGACAAATATATGCAATTGTTTTAAAAAATTGTATGTTCTAAATTACAGAACAACAATTCGACATTAAGACCTTAAAAATAACAACTTTAGAGGTATGTTTCAAAAGTTTATTACCGTATTCTATTAATCGCAGGTTTAAGTGCTTTTTGATCATTTTTCTTGGTAGAACCTTTGATTGAATTTTTCTACATTATATTATAATTGCTATAAATTATTATCATTAATTGTTTCATATGCCTATATTATCACTTTTTGACAATTTCGACTGTTGTTTGCTTAATAATGTATCAATGGGTACCCTGTGTCAAAGTGCGCCAGTAGCTCAAGCACGCGCTTGATCTTCTGTGAMGTCTACGCGTGACGCGTCACGTGCAAYCTCGTACCCAGTGCCCGCATCTTTGCCATCCAGCGAAAGACAATGCGTGAGAGACTGCAATCGTACSCAGAGCCCACACTTTTGCCATCCAGCGTACCGCTGACATTAGTCGTGAAGATTGGAGAGACTGGGGTAATGTGTTTATTTTCCTCGATTCGTGATTGGTTAAAAATGACGMGAGCGCGCATTCTTTTCAAGTCGGTTTTTCAAGCCGTCGGCCCGCGCTCGGCTCATTAGTCAAGAAAATCATACTTTTATTTTTTTTTTATTTATTTATTTTTTATTAGCTTTATTATTATTATTATTATTATTTTGGTATAGGAAATGTTCATTCTGTTTACTTAGCGAACAAATCAACAGAACTGAAAAACATGTTTCGTCTTTAATGACCTTCTCTATTTCAACTCATACTATTGCATAAACACAAATGTTTTCATACATTTTTATTTTT